GGCAGGAGAGAAATGGGAAGATGTGGCCTTGGAGACCGGGGAGTTGCTGTCACAAGCCTAGGGATGCCAGCAGAAGCTGGAGAAGGCAGGGAACAGACGCTCCCCCAGAGCCTCCAGAGGGAGGGGGCCCCGCTGACACTGATTTCAGACCTCTGATCTCCAGAACTGTAAGAGAATACATTTTTGTCCTTTGAAGCCACGAAACTCATGGTAATTGTTACAGCAGCAGTAGGAAACTCACAGGCTCCCTGACTTAAAGGGAAAATACAGGCGTTTTAGAGTCAAGGTCAGGAAGGTGACCCTAACAGTCGGAAGGGTCAGTACGGTAATCAGAATAGCCCTGCCCCCAGTCGCTCTGGGGCTGAAATGGATGAGCCACCCACTGGATTCCTGCTTGGTCTGCAGAGCTACAGCCCATTTTGGGTCTTGTGAGCGCAGGTGTGACTTGATTCACCATGAAAGTGAGACATGGCCCTTCAACCAATTTCTAGATAAGAGTCAGTTCACAGACCCAGAGATCTTCGACTATTCGGAAAGATGGCTGCGTTTGAAGAGCCTTGTAGGAACTTACGTGACTCTTGTTCCTATAGGCATTCACCTTAGATTGACCAAAATCCACAAGCTTAACACTGTATTCTGTTCGCAGGGCCTCTGCCGGAAAGATGCAGGGCAAGGATGCCAGCAGGTCCTCAGCTCCTGGCATCTTGTGAGCAACTGTGGAGTCGACTGTCTCAAGTAGGGGATGCAGGGGACAAGCGTGGGTGCCCCCGATGGGGCCAGCCTGGGGACAGCACTGCTGCAAACCTGGGTGCCCTGACGTGAGCCTCAGGGACAGCTGGCACTTCCTTGTGCCCCTGCGCATCCCTCTGTGTCCAACATACCATGCTGCCTCGACCTCCACGTCTTTGTGGCTTCGTGTCGTCCTCATCTGGCCGTCCCCACAGCTGCTGAGAGGCCTCTCTCTCACCTCCTCACACAGGAACTTGCTTGAGGTGCAGAATCTCAGGCCCCACCCAGACCTCCTGACCAATCAAGGCTCCCACGTGCCTGGGCCTTTCTGGGAAACTCACTCCCCACTCTAGACTCAGCACAGTGTCCGCTTGCCCCTCACAGTGCTGGTTATCTGTGGCCCCTCCCCTCCGTCTTGGAGCACCACAGAAGCAGAGCCCGCTTCAGCCTGTTCGCATCTGAGCCTGAAGGTGTTCCTGGTACATAGGAGGCACCTAAAAACGCCCACCGAGCGAATAAATCAGTGCACCCTTCGCTGGTCTAACGCACGCCCCCACTCCTTGGATGGAATATAAGAAGAGCAGCTGACCATGTGGCCCGTGCAGGACTCCTGGCAGCCACTAGACAGGAGGCTCCACGGGCGGCACTGCAGCTCTGCATCCATGCATACCGTGGATGCCCTGTGGGAGTTCAGCCGAGCGGGGCGGCCCCTGGGCTCCCTCACGGCTCCCAGACAGGCTTCTAGGGCCAGGAACAAAAGGCTTTCTTTAAAGAGGGAGGAAGGGACAGCCACGGGTGCCTGGGACACTTTGAAACTGCCACACCCGCCAAAGCCCAGTACTTGCTGTGCTGCTGCTTGTGCAGCAGGAAGCCTGCAGGGGGCGCCCTCGCTGCTCTAGGGAGGGTTGTTTCTTCTAGGTGGAGAGAAACCATCCACGACTTCCAGATAACCTACCCCAAAAAGCAAACACACACAGTCTGGCACAGAAGTTGCCCACCACGTAGGCCAGAGAGCAGAGCTCCCAAAACACTCTGCGTATGGGCAAGGTGAGTGAGGCACTGGCACAAAAACTCAGTAGTTGATGTAAATACTATTTCTGTTGTGGTATTTTTAAAAATCTAAATCAATGCTAAGGAATCTATGAATAACAAAATATAAACTTTTTTTTTTTTTTTTTTTTTTTTTAAGTAAGAAGTGGATTTATTTACAGAGAAACACACTCTACAGACAGAGTATGGGCCATCTCAGAGGTCAAGAGGCCCCAGGGTACAGCGTGGTTAGTTTTTATGGGCTGGGTAATTTCTTTTTTTACTTCCTAAATTTTATTTATTTATTTTTTATTTATACAGCAGGTTCTTATTAGTTATCTATTTTATGCATATTAGTGTATATGTCAATCCCAATCTCCCAATTCATCACACCACCACCAACCCCCCTAAACATTTTTCATAAAGACAGGATCTAGCCAACTCCTTTTTCTTTTTTAATCTAAGGGTGTAATTCATCTTAAAGAGGCACGCTTCTTCATTTTGTGATGCTTGCAGATCAGATTTGATGAAGCATCAGTCTGTCTTCATCCAAGACAAAGCTATGGAATCTACACCAATACTAAAAACAAAAGCAGCATCTCCTACAGACACATTACAATTCACCCACTCAGAGTCAAATTAATGAAAACGAAATTGGCTACCTAAAATACAACGGCATCGAGACCATGAATGTTGTGTAAAAATGGTACGGTAATTTTTATTCCCTTTCATGTTATGTAAAATCACTGGAGAGTCATCAGCAAGTTGTAATTTCATAGGTGAATAAGAAAATGAAAAGATACAGAGTGGGTCATATTGATTAGTGAGGGATGCTATTGTAGAGAAGGCAAAGTTACCAACGATTAAAAAGAACGTAAACAGGTTCTAAAGTAAGGACACAGCCAACTAACCCTTGACCTCAGAGGTAAAAGGAGAAAAAAGTGGGAAGCCACAACTGAGGTGAGCCCAGAACATCGTGCTTTGGTCTAAAATTAAGGCCTTAATGCCCAAACTACACAGGCATCACCACTACTTACCCTAGCGTTAATATCCTCTTATAAAAATATTATTAAAAAACCACCATGAGATGGCAAGTCGTAGGATCTAGTTAGCTCCCCCTTGAGCAAAGATATAGGAAGGACTCTGTGAGAAGTCTGCACCAAAAAGTGTGAAGTCCTAAGAATCTGTTGCATGTTGTTACATGCTCAAACATGGTTGATTGATTTGATTGCAGGCTTCAGAAGGGTTTCTGGGCACTGGAGGCCCGTTGTTCTACCCATAATTTTAATCAAGTCAGTATACAAGATGGATATAGCCAGGATATCTTACCTCTCCTACTTGCTGGCATCATGCCTAGAAGCAAACTCCAGAACTGGAAGCTTGTTGTCAAGGTGCCCAGTATAAACCAACAATCCCATCAACCAGTACCTTCCCTGCCAGACTGTGCTCTCCAAACAAGTGACAGGTCTGAAGCTTGTAAGATCTTCCCGGTATTATCTAAACACTGTATTCCCAACTGGCATATGCATTTGGATGCCATGAATAAAGCGCTCCTTGTTCAAGTGTCTGGGAACACCTTGATAAAAGCCAGTATCTCAACCCCGGCTATGTATCAGAGTCCTTATGGCACTAAATGCTTCCCATTGTTTAAATGAAGCACTCAGGACTGACCACCACTGAGATTAAATGACCTTTAATGGGCTAATGTGGATTAATGAGAATTTTCATACAGAGAGCCTGATGTAGCCAGGCCTCTGTATCCTTGGTTTCCGCATTTGTGGATTCAACCAATCACAGATCAGAAATATTAGAAAAAAATTTCCAGAAAGTTCCAAAAAGCAAAACTTGAACTTGCCACTTGCTGGCAACTATTTATATAGCATTTACATTGTATTAGGCACTATGAGTAATCTGGAGATGATTTAAAGCATATGGGAGGACATGTGTAGGTTATATGCAAATACTACATGCTTTTATATAAGGGACTTGGGCATCCCTGGATTTTCGTATCTGCAGGGGGTCCTGGAACTGATTCCCTGTGGACACCAAGGGATGACTGTACGGTGTTTCCCTAAACCTACCTACCACAGAACTCTGAGAAAACCGAGCTTAGAAAATGCTGCTCCAGGTATGAAAATTAGTATGCTAAAAACAAGTGGAAATAGGAAAGAATAATGGAATTTGGTATCATACAATGAAAGTTACACAAAAGAAAACACACATGAATATGCTGCTAACATGAAAGCCTTTGTTTTTAATTTGGTTGATACACATTTGACAAAATATTTTAGAATAAAATAATCCATTAACAGGCACAAGGTATTTACAGTAACAACTGTGAAGAACATAAAACGGATGTACTCTTAAACAGTAATGTCTATTTATAAAACTTTTTGTCGTGAATCCGGAAGACTTTCAGTTCTGCTCCTTACCCTGGTCTGAAGCCGCGAAAGATGGTGCGGAAGGCCCAGGAGTAGGAGGTGCAGCCCTGGCGCGTTTGGCAAATAAGGATCGTCTGTTGGTTTGAGCTCACGGGGAAGTGAAGGGCCAGATCTTGGGGTGAGGTCCAGAATGGAAGACTCCAAAGGAAACAACTAAAGACAAGGCCTAAAATCACACTCATGTTTCTCAGTTTCCTACAGGAGAAGCCTGCAAACTATTTTTTAAATGGACTCAATTTCCCCTTTTTTAGCAGAAAATCAGCAACCCTGAGACTCTAATCTTCCATAATATAAAAGTTAATAAACACCTAGAAGGGGTTAAAGATTTATAAATAACTTTATATGACCAAATAGAAACTTTAAAATAATTTTTATGATGTGAAAATACTTGAGAACAAAATTTCTCAAAATTTTCATGCCTAATTCTTAAACATTCTAATGAATAGTTTCCAATGTCTGAAATTTGTTGCACAAAAAGACACACTTTAACTAGATGTTTTAAATTGAGTACAACTTGCTCTTGATGGTTAAATGGAATGCCTACCTCTTCATATTATCCAAATACACTGAAATGAATTTTACCCACATCTGGAATATACAATATGAATTTACTTACACGACAACAACATAAACAAAGATCAAGGAAAAAATAACCGAACGCTTATGCTTTGTAACACTACTGAGACACAGTACACCATACATGTCAACATCTACTGATCCAACTAGGCTATTTCACTATACTTTCAACAATGGGTTCAATAAACAACTCTGTAGAGCATATATCCACACTGTATTTAAAAATCAAATTTGCTGCTCCTCCAGTGGAGGTTCCAGAGCTTCCATTAGCTTTTTATTTGCCTCTTCATTATGCCGGCTTTGACAATGAGTTAAATGTTTCTTAAAGCCTCTTGGAAAATTTGACTCAAAATTACAACGTGGACATTTAAGTAAACTTTGCCCATGAGCTGCTACATGATTTTTAAGGAGAGATTCCAAAAGGAAAGCCTTTCCACAAATTGTACATTTGTAAGGACTATGGACATTATGCTTGTTAACCAAATGATGCAAAACAGCACCTTTTTTCATAGCACGACAGCAACAAATTTTGCAATAATACTTTCCTTTTCCACGCTTCATGTATTTTGCAATCTCTTCTTCAGAGATAAAAGCCTCTTTTTCTTCAGTAAACTGCAGTACATTCTTGGACTGCTCTGGACTAGTCATGTCTATTTTGTTCTCTTTACTAAAATCAATAGATTCCACATCAACCTGCTCTTGATCACTGCTCGATTCTTGGCCCTTACTATCTATCGCATCCAAATCTGTTTTTATATACTCACTGCTACTAAGCTCAGCATCCGAGTTCTCTTGGTTGTCTTTCTTGAGCTTCTTTGAGGAAGGAAATAAAGTGTCTTCTAAGAGTTTCTTAGGTGTAGCCAGTAGTTCTTCCTGAACCAAAACATCACACTTTTGATCGTCTATGGCATCTGCCTGTAGTTCATCACCAAGCTCAACTGCCTTCTGAGATTCTGAGAAGACAGCAGCTTTGGGAAGTTCGGGGAAAAGGGCATGTTTCCGGGGCTCTGGAAAAAGAGCACGTTTTCGTGGTTCAGGAGAAGCACGAGAGGCTGTTTTGGTAGGCTCAGAAAACAGGGCAGGTTTTCTAGGCTCAGTATCAATAGAGAGAACAGGCTTCCAGATATCAGAGGAAGCTTTAGGGGACTCAGATGGCCCAGAAGGACCTGGTTTCCGGGTCTCAGGGAAGACAGGTTTCTGAGGTTCAATAAAAAAGGAAGACTTCCAGAGATCAGGGGAACCACCACGGGAACTTTTCTGGGACTCAGAAAAATCAAGTGAAGCAGGAGAAGTTTTCCGCTGATCAGGGGAAAGCTTCCAAAGCTCTGGAGACCCTGAGGGTTTTCTGAGCTCTGGAGATCCCGCTGGACTACGGATCTCTGGGGACAGTGGTGGGCCTGGTTTGCGAAGCTCAGGAGACAAGGGAGGTCCTGCTTTACGGAGCTCAGGGGACACTGGAGGAACTGTCTTCCAATGTTCAGGTGACAAGGTGGGCGCTGTCTTTCGGAGTTCTGGTGGGCCAGACTTCCACGACTCAGGAGATGCGGGGGGAGATTTCCAGGAACCAGGTGAGACTGATGAAGACTTCCAGGACGCAGGGGACATGGATGGAGCTGGTTTCCAAGGTCCAGGTGATATAGAAGGAATTGGTTTCCAAGGTCCAGGAGACACAGATGGAGCAGGTTTAGCTGGCTTCCAAGGTCCTGATGATGCTGACGGACTGGATTTCCAAGACCTGGGGGACCCAGGTGGCCCTGGCTTCCAAGACCCTGGTGACACAGCTGGGGCTGGTCTCCGAGGCTCTGGGGACACAGCAGGGAATGGCTTCCAAGGTTCAGGAGACTCCGATGGGGACAGCTTCCTTGGCTCAGGGGAGACAGTCCGGACCGGCTTCCGAGACTCTGGAGACGCAGCTGGGGATGGTCCCCAAGGTTCAGGGGAGGCAGCCAGAACTGGTGACTCTGGAGATGAGGCTGAAGGTGGCCCTAATGTTTCTGGGAAATGGGAGTGTTTCTGGGGTTTGGGATTAGTAAGAGTTGCCTTCACTGGCTCAGGAGATACGGGAGCAAGTTTCTGTGGTTCTGGAGAAGGAACAGGGACTGGTTTCTGAGATTCAGAAACAAGAGGGACTGGTTTTGGAAGTTCAGGAGAAGAAACAGGGGCAGGTTTTGGAGGCTCGGGAGAAGGAAGAGAAGGTGTCTGTGGCTCAGGAGAAACAACAGGGCCAGGTTTCTGAGAGTCCAGGGAAGTAAGAGGAGTAGGTTTTGGTGATTCTGGAGACATAACTGGGCCAAATTTCTGTGTTTCTATGGAAAGGGCAGGTATAGGTTTCAGGAGTTCTGCTGAATTAGAGGCCATTTTCTGGTGTTCAGGAACAGAAGGGCTTTTCACAGGATCTGCTTCTTTGTTTAACTGATTTTTTGGTTTCTCATTCCATTTCTCTGGGGCTGAATGTTTGGACGTGATGTGATAGTATACATTAGAGTACATCTTGCTGGTGAAAAAGCATTTATGGCAGTGAAATAGCTTTGCACTTTTCTGGTAAAATATCATTTTACCTAACCCACCAGCATCCATTTCATCACAAAATTCTGGATGGATGGTACCCATGTGGATTTGTACATTTTCATAATCCGTGCCTCTGAAATTGCAGTGGTCACACTCCAAATGTGCCGATGGCTTACGAAGTTCCTGGAATACTTCCATTTTTCTAACATACACGATTATATTCTTTAAAAGCAGTGCTGCAATAAAGTAGAAATAAATGATTTTCAGAGAACATTTTTGAATAAAATGCTGTCCCTAGTCCATTCTATACTTGCACAAGTCTAGAATGGCACATACATTTATTAGATAATATCTCTATAAAGATTTTGAAGAGATGGGAAAAATAAGAATTAATTTTAAACTGAGTCCCAGGAACTCTGCTATTTTTACATACATCATCTCATTCAATACTCCTAACAATATGACTCAAATATTACTTTCATTTACAGATGAAGAAATTCACGTTCAAAGAAAAGACTTACCTAGGTTACAGGACTATCAGGGACCCAAGCTTCACTCCAGAATTATCTATTGCATGTGCCTTACACTTTGACTCTAAAACCGCGAATCAACAAGCTGTCAGTACGCAAAGCTGAGTAAATATCAAAGCTAAAGCTAGGCTATTAAGGCAGAGCAAGAAACTTTAGGTCCATTTCAGAAAGCACTTGTTAAACTAAATCTAACATGAAAAGACAGCTTTAAAAAAAGTCAACATATCTTGTAATGTTTTATCCATCCTAATATACTTTATCCATTCATTTAATAAATTAATTATTTTGTGCCCCATGCTTTTCTAGGCGCTTGGGTTTAAAGGCGTGTCTTGCAATATGGTGCTTATATCAGCTGGGGAGATAAGAATGTGGAGGGCAGCACAGGAAGGCACTCAAGCAGAGATCCTGAATGATGCGATGGAGTTTGCCAAAAACGGCAATTCAGATGGAGGACACCCTTGAGGCAACTTGCTTGCCAGAAAACAAGACTTTTAAACTTTTAAGCTATAGCCTTCTTAAGGTGATAAAAGTAACAGAAGCTCACAGTTAAAAACATACTCATTCACGCAGTACAATGTACTCACATAGTATCACTCCCCAGGGGTAGCCACTGTACTTATGTGTCACCGAAGAGAAGGTCTATGTGGACACATTCTACACAAATGAGATATTAAGCATATTTTTCTGCAACGAGCTTTCATTTAAGGAAGAGAAGGTGTCTGTGGCTCAGGAGAAACAACAGGGCCAGACTCCAGGGAAGTGAGAGGTACATGTTTTGGTGATTCTGGAAGCAACTGGGCCAGGTTTCTGTGTTTCTATAGTAAGGGCAGATACAGGTTTCAGGAGTTCTGTTGAATTAGAAGGCATTTTCTAGGATATTTTTACATACAGAGTAAGCACTGAATTTCCTTTGAATGTGAGAGTATTTCTGAAAGGGAAATTCCTAGAAATGGATTACCTGGTTCAAAGGCTATTTGTAATTGAAACTGACATTTTACCAAACTCTCAAAAAGCTGTCGTACTATCACACACCGACCAAGAGTGCTGATGTGAAGCCTAATTCCCCAGCTCCCTCAGCATCAGAGTATCATTAAACTTCGAATCCTTTCTACTTCTTAGGTGAAAACTGATATCTCACTAGTGTTTTTAATGCAGCTTAATGACAAAGACTGAATATTTCCCCTTGTTTATTAGCCATGTGTATTTCTTTCTTTCTTTTTTTTTTTTGGTACGCGGGCCTCTCACTGCTGTGGGCTCTCCCGTTGCGGAGCACAGGCTCCGGACGTGCAGGCTCAGCGGCCATGGCTCACGGGCCCAGCCGCTCCGCGGCATGTGGGATCTTCCTGGACCGGGGCACGAACCCACGTCCCCTGCATCGGCAGGCGGACTCTCAACCACTACGCCACCAGGGAAGCCCAGCCATGTGTATTTCTTTTTCTAGGATGTGCTTTGCCCGTTTTTCCTAATTATTTGTAAATAGTCTTTGTATGTGAAAGAAGTCAGTCCTTTTATGGAAACTATCTTCTCACTTTATTATTTGTCTCGACTTTATTTATGATTTTTTTTTTTTACTACATACAATTGGTTTACATAAAAATTAAAAATTTAAAAGTGCTTCCCTTATGACTGTGTTTTAAGTTATGCCTTCCATTCCATTATTTTTTTAATCACTCAATATTTTCCCTATGACAATGATAACTTCATTCTTTTCTTACATTTGTATCTTTAATCCTCTGGGATCCAGCCTATATTTGACCCCAAATAGGTAGTTCAGTCGTCTCAACATTGATTACATATGCAACCAATGACATGTAATGTTCTATTTAGCAATTACTAAGTTTTGTGTATGATGCTATTCTGGGCTCTATTCTATTCCCCACCAGCTCCATCTGGTATGCTCTTCTTAGAATGGGTATCCAACTGCTAAAACAGATTCTGTAACTAACGTATTTAGCACACGTTCATGCATCATTATATATATGGGTGTGTATGCTTTTATAGTTTTCCCTCAAGAACTCCAAGCACTTTTCAAAAACGTACTCATCATAAAATATTCTCTTAAACGTTAGAAAGAAATGTTAAAAGCACACAAAAATGCATGCAAAGCAATGCTGGTACCGTTATTAAATACTGTATATTTAATTTACAATATAAATCCAGGACAAGTACTTTCGGAATGGGGAAAAAATACAGACCAACACGCTTTTCCCCTCGTGGGCTTACCAGCTGTCTTACTAGAAGTCTTAACAGTGGTCTTCGAGGGCAGGCAAGTCTACATGGCTTTTCGACTGAACCACAGAAGGCAGCGTGCAGCGCGTGAAGAAGGCCAAGGTGAGCAGCTGCACCTGAGACACACGAGGGAGGGGATCCAGGTTACTTCTCGGTGACAACTTGCGCCCTCTGTAACAGAATTCTGCCGATTTCCCTCGCCACCCTGCCCCTTCCAACAGCAAGAGGGGCCAGTCCAAGGCCTGGACACTAACTTTAATGAAACGACACCAAAGACTACAGTAGATACTATCCACGACGCCATCCTTGTTGAATTTCATTTTAATGATCCTCTATGGAATTAATGCCTGACCCTCACCCAACCAAACCCTTCTCAAACCCATCATCTAACTTCAGCTAACGTGACAAGCACTCAGAAGACTCCTGCCGTGACTACAAGCTATTCTGTCAATTAAAACTTCTTACAGTTGAGGAAACTCAAACCCAGACATTAATAACTTGCTCAAGGTTAGGCAGTCCGCATCTGATGAAGGACCAGTAACGACGTTTTGCTATCTACCCAGGTTCTTCCTCAAATATCTTGACCAACCTAATACAGTGGAATTTAGTAAGATCCTGAAAAGCCAGTAAATGGGCCCAAATCAGACAGATGAAATTTATCAAACATTTAGAATCCAAATATCAATTACAAAACATAGGACTATAGTGAACTGCACTGGGCAGAGTATCCCCGTGGATCACTGTCTCCAGCTCTGGGCAGGAAGGACACTTTAAGATCTTGAGTCCCAACAGTGGGAATATGCAAAAGAAAGCAAACAGAATGGTAGGAAGTCTTTAAAAACATGTCATTTGTGAGCACAGACACTTAACTTCAAAAGGGGAAGAATTATGGATAATACATAAGCTGTCCGAAAAAAAGTAGAAGCCAGCAGGAAAAGAGATTTCAGCTCAACATAAAGTTTTACCAAGCACTCAATCATGGAGTAGAGTGAGCTGCGCTGTCAGGCAGGAGCCCTCCCTAACTGGGAGCCAATGATTAGTACAGGACCAGAAGGGTCCTCAGAGGACTTAAGTCCAACCGCATCATTTTATAATTGAGAAAAGTGATGCTGAGGGAGAGAAGTGACTTGTTAAAGATCACAACAGTTAGGTCAAAGAAAGCAACAGAAGACCCTGATTTCCTGACTCTGGATCTCTGCTGTAACAATAATGATGTCTTCCCCATGGGGATGTTGCAGAATTGAGTTCAGAATTCAGCTTCTGGGTAGAGGCTAGAGACTGAGATTACTTCCAGCTTCCAGATTATAGCAATTTTTCCCCCTAAGCTTCAGAGTTCCTTAGCCTAATTATGAAAGTAACTCTACATTGTGCAGGTTAATAAAAATCTCTCATCCTACATTTCACCTCTACAGACCACATATTGTGTCTAAAAAACATAAGTTTTAATCACGAGTGTTTTGCCAGTCCATCATCCTGTATTTTTCAGAGAAGTTCTACCATATGGTATCACACCTATTCCCATTTCCCATCCAGTTTCTTTCTTAACATCTAGCACCACTGGTCTTTTAAAACATTTTGATGCACAGCTCTCCCATGTAAACTCAACATGCAGAGCATGTCTATAGCTAATTTGCTCTATTAATATATACACAGTAGCACGGCTCTTTACCCTTGCTGATTTTTAAAAAATTATTAAACTTTAGAGACGTTTTAGGTTTAAAGAAAAACTGAACAGAAAGTTCTCTGCTCTCATATACCTCCTTTCCTCCCCTGCACATCCTTTGTCCTATTATTAACACCCTGTATTAGTGCGGTAGATTTGTTACAACCGATAAACAAATAACAAGTTACTGTTAACTAAAGCAGAAACTCTATACCCGTTCAACAATACCCTCTTTGAGTCGAATCATACAACACTTGCTCTTTTGTGTCTGGCTTATTTCACTTAGCACGTCTAAACTGAAGCATGTATCATAATTTTATTCTTTTTTAAGGATAAGCAGCATTCCAACTTTTTCCCGTTCACCTGCTGATGGTCATTTAGGGTCACCGCCTTTTGCCTGCTTCGAAGAAGGCTGCTCTGAACACTGGTGTCCAAGTACCTGGGTCCCTGCTTTCAATTCGTTGGAGTTCACACCTAGGAGAAGTGCCGGACCATGGGCAACTCCATGCTGACACTTCTGAGGAACCACTGAACCATTTTTCCACAGCTGATGGCCGCTCCATTTTAATTCCCAGCCACCAGTGCAGGAGTGTTCCAATTTCTCCACGTCCGAACCAACACTCTGGGTGTGAAGCGGCATCTCGTTCTGGATTCCCTTTCCGTAACTCTGCCGGCTAAGAGCATCCTTTGATGTGCTGCCTGGCGATCTGCACATCTTCCCGGGAGAGACCCCCACTCAAGCCCTCTGCCCACTTTTACACAGCTTTTTGTTGCTGGGTTATCAGATGCAC